GAGAGAGAGAGAGAGAGAGAGAGAGGGAGAGAGAGAGAGAGAGAGAGAGAGAGAGAGAGAGAGAGAGAGAGAGAGAGAGAGAGACGTCGACGGCGACGGCAGCGGCGATGAACGCGGACGTTTGAGGACACCCAGGAAGACAAAAATCGCAAGGCGTAGAAGAAATGTTGTGTCTACAAGTACATCCGGGTGGGTCAGAGTCTCGGGGAGAGGTTCCACGGGAACCGCATGTTGAAGTGCCTGTTTTACGGCCATGAGTTCCAAGGAAACCAGTACATGGCAGCACGCCATTTCAGGCAGGGGAAAGGGTGTCCGTCAGTGACCGACAAGGCGCTGGTGGACATAAACTACAACTCGAACTACAAGCTGGAGGGCAAGATCCTTGACCGCATGCTCCAGTTCGAAGAGCTTCACGGTCCGACACCTGTCATGGATCCGCGCCGGGACGAGGGAGGGGCAGGAGGGGCGGGACAAGAGAGGGGTGACGAGGAGGTGGTCGACGTTGACAACGTCGAGGACGAGGGTGCGCGAGCAGTGAGGCCTAGACCATCGACGAGGGACCGAGGGAAGGACGTCGTTGACGAGTCGTGGAGCCAGCAAGGCCGTTTTTTTCAGGATGCGCACGTGTCGGCTCTCAGGCGCATGTGGATGTAGAAGACGCGGCGGCTGCTGTGGGGAAGAGAAAGGAGAGAGAGGAGGCGGCGAGGCCGGGTGGGCAAAAGCGGCTGAGACAGAACACCATCATGGAGTCGTATTCTTCGAAATGGCAGATGGAGTTCAAGAATAAGTTTCTGAGGTTTGTCTACAGTCAGCATTTGCTGTTCAACGTCTTCCGAAGCGAGCCATGGAAAGAATTGGTAAAACACTTCAAGGACTTGCCAGGGCCAGTGAAGGTTTTGTGGTCGTCGCACAATGAGATCGCCAATATGGAGACGTTTGTCCGCACTGCCGACGATGTGGCGGGTGATCTCGCAGAGGTCAGGGCTCCTTTCTATGTGACGGGGGCCACTATCATGTCGGATGGCAGGAAGTCACGGGATGTCAGACCAATCGTTATTTTCCTTGCTGGCGGGTTGCGCGGAGTGATGATGGTGCAGACAATGAACAGGGAGGGCGAGCGAGACCAGGCGGCTGATGTTTTGGCACATTGGATCAAGGTGTTCAATGAATTCCCTCCTCGGTGGGTGAATGCCATCTGCGTGGACTCTGCCTCTGAGTACGTCACCGCAACAAACATGCTCCAGGGGGCCCCAACAAAGGCCAAAGATTCGACGGATCACGTGGCTGTCGTGCGCAGTGCATGTCCGCAACAAAATGTTGTCAGACATTGGCTTGTCAAGCCAGTGATCAAAGGATATCATTGTGCGTGGGAGAGCGGTGGTGCGCTTCATTAAGGAGCACGGCGCTGCTCTGCACATCTTCAGGGGGGAGAGCACACAGATGGGACTTATTTATCCCTGCGGAACACGATTCGCATCCGTGTTTGCTATGATGGAGCATTTGCTGGCAGTCAGGTCAGCGTTGGTGGACGGCGACGGTTGGGGTTTGGTCCTCTAGGACAGTACCGTTGCTCAGCTGGCTCGGTGGGTGAGGTGGCAGGTGCGGCATGGTCCTTAGTGAGATTCCATGGGTGTCCGTACACGACATGCTTAGCAGGTTGGACCGGGAGGGCTGCACATGTCGCAGGTTGTGCACTGGACGCAGGACGTGACTCGCGATGTGGCATGCGAGGTCCACGCACTTCCATCGGGCGTTGCGCACTTCATTATGCAGAAGGTGCAGGTTCGGTGTGCTCACATGTTGGAGCCAGCGCACGCCGCTGCTCACCTTCTTTGTCCCAGTCGCCGAGACTTGAGGTACTACGAGGGCATCGTCAGCGACTACGATGCGAGACTCGTGCGGAAGGCAGAGACGTACATCATCACACAGACTTGGTTTAGTGTCACGAGCCCCAATTACGAGGCTGCATATGCCCAACAGCGCGACTTTCACACACGGAGAGGGGGGATTGTGTGGGGGAGGAGGGATGGAGACAAGGAGGCACAGAGGTGCACCGACGACGTGGAGACGTTCGAGGCCAGTTGTTGGTGGTCGAAGTGGGGACAGTGTGTCCCGCAGCTGCAGGCCATCGCTCTTCGTGTCATGTACATGTGGACATGTTCCTCTCCCGCAGAGAGGAACTGGGCCGTCCACGAGGCTGTGCACACGATGAAGCGCAACAAGCTCGATTTCGAGAAGGTTGCGAAGTTGGTCGAGATCTCAGCCAACGCCCGCCTTCTCTCTCACCAGCGGGTTGGCCGCGACTTTGCATTGTCGTGGACAGTCGATGAGTCCATGTTAGATGTCGAGGGAAGCATCGGGACTCGGCCGTCGTGGCAGGGGACGGACGCCACCAGGTTGCAGGAGGACCGGGAGAGGCAGAGACGTTCGTGGACGCGAGACCCATGTGGGTCAAGAGCTCCTCTTGGAGAGGTCGGAGAGGTTTTTGGGAATGGGCTGCCACGTTGCGCCCCTACCCCCGAGATGGCGACAGTGATGACGAGGGCCCAGAGGGGGGGGGGAAGCGGGCGGGACCTGCTGACCATCCGGCCTCGCAAGAGGCCGATGAGTGAAGTGACCCAGAGGACGTCCGTAGACGTAGCGGCGGGGGCGAGCTTTTCGGTGGAGGTGACAAGAGCCCTCTTGAGCGAGAGCGGCCCTCGTCTCCGAGGCCCCATTCCGTCGATACGCAGGCGGTGCACGGATCTGCGCGTTCTCGGGGAGCTGAGTCAGCTTGCGGTGGCGGCGTTCCTGGGCAGCATCCCGGACGTATTCGCAGTGGGATGGCTTCATCCGGCATTGTTCCCCCTCCGTCGGGGGATCTTCATCGAGGTTCGCCCCCCAGAGGGCAACTGCATAGATTTGTGACGGGCCCGAGACAGCGATTAGAGGAGAGATTGGTGGGTGGTCTTTCACCAAGTGAGAGGGTCGAGAGAGATGTGGAGAGGCTGACTGCTGGACGTATTGCTCCGTTGTCAGGAGATGGACGTAGTCTAGTTGAGGAGGCGGTTCAGACAGACGGTTCAGACAGACGGTGTTGGGGAGGGTCGTGATGACAAGATATCGATGGGTGGTGGCGGAGGTTTTAGTCAGTTTGGTGATTTGGGAGTGCCGCCCGGAGAGAGCGATTGTCGGGGGGACTTGAGTGTTGGCATGCAGGCCATATTAGACCAGATCAGCGCCATGCAGCCGGAGACTTTCACCCCTGCCATGCATGGAGAGTTAGGAGCGTCGCCGGCGGAGGTTTAGGTTGATGAGGATGCCACACCCCCTAGAGAGACATCAGCAGAGAGGTTGGACAGGCTTGATAGTCGTCGAGATTGCCTCCTGGCATGAGCTGACCCCAGGACGCAGGAGTTGGCCCGTCTAGCAGCGGAGAAGCTACACAGACAATTGGGGACATTTATGGAGATGGCCCCTGACGCACAGGCGGTTGCCCACGTCTAACCGATGACAGAGGTTCGCGATGGGACGTAGGGGAAGGCAACTGTACTTGAGGCAGCTTCGGCAGGGATGCAGGGGGAGGCAGGTGCAGGCAAGGCGACCTCAGTAGGGATGCAAGGGGAGGCGGGCGGACGCGAGGCAGCTGGAGGCGAGATGGGTGGAGGCGAGGCAGCTGGGATGCTCAGAGAGGCGCAGGGGTTGCACGAGACCGGGGTCGCTGCATCAGACGACCCGCGTCTGGTGTCCGACCACCCTCTTCACGACGGGTGGAGGACCGAGGATACTTTGCCTGAGACCAAGGACATGCCTCCGGGTCTGGAGGACATACAGACGGGTCAGTCACTGGGCGTTGATGATGATGCACCATTGGCACAGGCAAATAGGATATCGCCGACCAGGGGCAGGGGGGGGGGGGGTGCGTTGCAGGGGACACTACAGTTGGGGGGGTAGAGGAGCGAGTCCAAGGTGATCCGGTGTCCTTGGTTGGGGGAGGTCGCCATGCATAGGTCGACAGCGGGGTCAGGCATAGAGAGGAGGCGATCGGTACCCCTGATAGATATAGACATGAGGCTTCACAACGTTTGCGGGTCCGCACGACCGTGGGGCAGGTGGTGCCACATGAGGCACCGTTTCCTATAAATCCGATGCGTTGTGCAAGTGGTGTCACCTCGATCGTAGAGCGACGTGTAGGCAGGGGCATGCACGCGCCTCCAATCCCCCCTTTCGCACTGTCTAGGGAGAGGACACACTGGCAGTCAAGGTATGTGGCTCAGACTCGCGGCACCCTTGCATTCGGTTGTATGACCGCTGAGGAGTTGGAGGTGCACGACACGATGGATTACACCGGGATCGACATCGGTCGGACGGACTTGTCTTGGGCGCCAGCCAGCCCGAGCTTACCATCCGGAGGTTCTACTGCAGCGCCCTCTCACAGGGGTGGAGGGCCGTTGCCACCCCCGTTCGCAGATGTTCGGTCGCGCGGTAGTCACACCCCGAGGTCGGCTGCCCACAAACAGAGAGACACGAGCGACCATGGACGAGACGGGTGACATTTGCGAGCGCGGGTCATCAGCCGGGTTTGAGAGGGGTCTCCACGAGCGGGGGTCGTCGAGATGTTGTGGCGTCAGGGTTTGGCGACAGAGGGGGGGATAGTGGTGGCATTCGTGGCGGACGTGAGGGCACACGCGATGTCGATGTAGAGGCAGTACAACGGCCACTGACGTACGGTTTGAGAGAGGCCTCCATCATTTTAGAGGAGCCCGATGTTGGTCGACGAGCTAGGCAAGCCCGACATGTGCCGATCGATCGACGCCAGGAGGGGGAGACTTCAGGGGCAGACGGTTTGCCTATGCGCCGCGAGTCTCGCCGACATGTTGATTTAGCAACCTAAGGCGTCAGACCAACCAGAGGCAGGAGAGTTATTACGGACGACAACCCCGACGACCCTCTTGAGCCTTCCACTGCTGGTCGTGGCGAGCAACGCCAGAGAGGTGGACCGCGTGGCACTGGTCGGACACATGGACGAGCTTCGCATCGGTCTGGGCAGCGTTCGCCTGCAGATGAGGATCGTTGACTGTGTACAGACTTCCGTTTCTTTTCTTTCTTTTTTTCCGTAGTTTAGTTTTTTGTTCTTCATGACCAGCATAACGTTCAGTGATTTTGTGCAGTTCACTGTTCACACTTCTTTTTGTTCGTTACTTAGAGATAGGCAATAGGGCCGGTCTTCGACATTATGTGTCAAATGTTTTTTTATGTTGTCCATGCGACACTGATTTATGCTTTTTTTTTCTCTTTCTTTTTTTGGTTTAGTGTCCGGTTCTCTATGACTGGCATAGTGTTTCGGGATTTTACTCCTGGGGGTCCGGCGTTCCCAGAACGTCGGACCCCCTACATGTATCTGGTCTATGGTTGAGACCAGATACAATTTTTTTTTTTTTTTTTTTTTATCTGGTCTCAACCATGGACCAGATACATGTAGAGGGTCCGGCGTTCTGGGAACGCCGGACCCCCAGGAGCAAAAAATTCCGACCGGATTTTGGCAAAAAAAGTCAGTTTTGATTTTGTTCAAAAAATATAATATGTCCGTTTTGACGAAATGGTTGTTTTTGTGTTTCGGTTCAGATATTATCTCGGCATTTGTGGTGTTCCTGTTTTATGGATGGTGAGTGTTGCATGTGTTGGTTTATGTTTTTCCACGTTGTCATTTCATGCGTTTGATAAACCAATGTGTGAACTTGCATTTGAGTTCATGAATGATGAGTGGAGTGACAATTAGATAAGTGTGTGTGTGTGTGTGTGTGTTTGCTTGTTCCAGCTCTCTCACAACACCCAAGTGCAATATCCTAGAAAACCAAAGAACCCTTGTTAAATTATCCCTCCAAAGCCCCCGCCATCCCCCAACACACAACAACATTGACCTCCAGGGTGCGGTTCCAATTTTGGAGTCATGAGGGATGGGAGGTGGTGGGGTGGGGTAGGTGGGCCGACGGGGTGTGGGTGGTGGGGCGGAGCGTTTGGGGGGATGGGGGATTTGGGGT